ATTTAAAACAGGCATTCATGCAAAGTCTCACAATGGGCACTGCAAACTAATTTAAGAAAATTAAATAGGTCAAATTTTCAGTCTCTCCACCCTAACAATATCCTTGTATGCACACCATTATACCATAAATAAACCGTCGATCTTCACTGCTCCTAGTGAGATGCGTCTTGTCATTAAAGACACAAGTGTGTAACTGTGTTTGGCAATACTTGAACTTTGAAAGTTGAAACACAGTTTTAGTGCACACTCGTATGCAAGCACAATGGTATCACTCTCCAGGCAGCAAGTGTTTCTGCTGCTGGCAGACTGTGCTCAGTCTGAGCTTCTCCTCCATCTGCTTCATCCTTGGAACTGACTAATATGGCCACTCACAGGGTGATCTTGGCAGCAGCAGGGTACAGATGCTCAGCTTGGGAACGAGTTTTTGAAGCAGTGGCATCTGGGTGTCAGCTCATCTTCCCAGTTGGTCTCTTCAGTGGACTTGTCTGCCCAGACTTCTGTCTCTGTTGGCAACTCAGAAGTTGGGGTCAGTCTTTGTGGCTTGCTGGCCTTCCCAGAAGAGCACTTGTCTACGATTAATGCCTCTGAAGGAGCTAAAAGCTATCTTCATATAGAACTTCAAAATCACTCCCAAAAATATCATTAAATGCACATAAAAACCTCTATAAAATGAAATTTAATAATGTGAAATGGACTGATTTCCATTCTTATTGTAAAATTCTTCTCTGCTCTACTTTTATATGGTGGATTTTTCTTCATTTCAAAATCAAGATTCATAATGTCTGGAATAACTTTCAGAAGATATACCCAAACATGCCTAAAATTACTCATGTACAGGGCAAAATCCTTAATATATTGGTGAAATTGTCACCATCATTCTAGCAGTTAGATCAAAAAGCATTTCAATGAGAATATCTTCAACTCTTACAAATCTCAGCAATGAAGTGAAAAAGGAACTGAAAATTACTGTTTCTTCCTCCAAACAGGACATAAAATGAAACATTTTTTCCTAATCTAGGAATTTTTGTTATATGAAGGAGGATCCCTGCAGGCAGATATATGTCCTTCCCCCCTCTCTTGCTCCTGTGAATATATAAAAAGGGGAAATAAGAAGTGCTTCAGAGCTTGGAAAAACCTAAGCAAACAAGTACTTTGCCTTCCCCCCCCCATTTTTCCCCCCCCCCCCCCCCCCCACCCTTTCTTTGCTACCTAATCTGAACACTACCTGAAGATAAATTTTTAGATGTACTCTTTTCTTATGCCTCTGACAGCACTGGTGGAAACAGAATATAGCTGATACCTCAGGTATCTCGTAAATTCTCTTTCATGGGTCATGTTTGTATTCAGAGGGAGTTTGATAGCCAGCTGAAAATTAAAATATAGATGCAGCTGCAGTAACAAGTACATGCAGGCTTTGTCTGCTGAACTCTTCTTTTAACAGCGCCAGTGTTCTGGAGGTTACAGTAAAGTTGTGTTGTCAGTACAATCTAGTACATATGAAGAGATTTTGCTGTATTAAAAGGAATATTTCAGAAAATAAAGGAAATTATTATAGCCCTGAATTTACAGTGAGATCAGCCCAGAATTTGTCTTGTTTTAAGTAATTTTTTCTACAATAAAATACACACATAGTAGTGAATCCAAGTAGGTAGTGAATATGATTTTGAGAAGAGGAATGTATTTGAGGCATTTAAGTATTCTTATTTTTCTACCTCAGAAAGGAATTATGAAAAAAATAAGATAAAAGTATACTTCACAGTGATTTAATAATAAATCCTACTGTAGGTATTGAAGGAATCAACTGTTCAGCTACAGTCACACAATGCTGCTCAGGCGTCAGATTAGACCTGGTTCTGTAATTCTGTTTTCTAACATTAAGCTAGTTCTCATTTGGGATTAGGCAAAGACACTCAGTCTATACTTCTGTGGATGTTCTGGAGCTGGGTTTTGCTCTGCACACTGTGAAGGATCAAAAGGACATTATTTTCTAAGTTACCAGGATAATTTTGGTTGTTCTTGATTATTTTTTGCACTTCAAAGACTTAACTCTTGACCTAGAGGACTACCAAAAAAATACTATCACACTGCCTTCTCTTGTTTGAAACAAATATGTTTGCATGCCGATTTTTGATCACTGTGCAAAACCAGATGGTGTTTCTGATGCTTTATAAGTTTTAAAGTGTGCTGCCCTTAATAGGGTGGATTTCTACACTTTGTGTTAATTTATGACTTAACTAGCAGACTGAACAAATATACAAAAACCTCCATTGTGGAGGTTTTGGTGTTGTGGGTTTCTGGTGGTTTTCTGTGTGTTGGGTTTTTGTTGGTATTTTTTTTATCCCTAGCTCACATATTTTCTATTCTGAAAAAGAAATGTTGATGATGTGAATAAAATTCAACTTACTCTTCCATAGGCTATTTACTCTTCAGTGAGTAGGGGGTAAAAAGCAGGTAAAATGTAGTAACATGTATTTCATTTTTACTGGAGTAAATACTCAGAGTATGATTATAGGAAAAAGTAAATTTTGTTGATTAAAAAGTACTGTATACTCATTGCTTGGGTGAGACTTGCAGAAGAAAGGAACTGGAATAGCAAAATAGTAGTGGATAAGTGTGTACAATGGGATGTGCAGAATAGTCTTTCCATGGCAAAAAGTAACATGCTTTGTCCTCTGCAATGTTTTCTTCTGCATTGTTATATATCTCCAGATGTATGACAGAAGGACCTAAGTAAGAAACTCCCTTTCTTGCTGTCACTCAGCTTACATCACTCCTCCAAAATAAAATAATGAAAAAATATTGATACAAAATCTGTTACAGGTGAAAGTCAACCTAATGTGGTTTAGGTTGGTAAATAAGTGGCTGTTTTGTTTTGCTGTGCAGTGTAGGGTAAGTTGAGTTGGATGCATGGTCAGGTAAGCTAAGATCCTCAAAAGCAGTTGTCTCAAGTTTTCAGTCAATTGTATATGCAGAACTGTGTCTTTTTCTCTAAGAACACAAAAAGTAGAAAGAGAAGGAAAGCAGTGCACCCAGGAACATCTTACATTTTGCCCTAGAACTCTCTGCTAGCAAACCAAGCAAACTGTTTTTGGGAATGAGGCTGTGGTTTTCCAGAATTGAAAAAGACGAGTGCCAGAATGAGAAAATAAAAAGCATCTCTGATTTGTGACTGTTCCAAGACTATCAGTTAAAAGTGAGGGTGTAAAAGCAAATTCAATGGGGAGTGAAGAGGATCATGATGGCGCATAAGAAATGTCATTTTTTCTTATGCGTGTAAAGTCTACTAAGCAAGTGGGTCTTGTGGTGTGTCATTTGAGGTGGTTTATTTTGTGGGTTTAGGGGTTTTTTGTTGTTTTTTGTTTTTTGTTTTGTGAAGAGTAGCTTAACACAGAAGAGGATAAGTGCCACGTTGAATAATAAGGATTTGCTTGGTTGCTTTATTTGAAAGTTTTTTGGAAAATATCTGCAGAGTAGGGAAGCAAATGCAACTGAGCAGAAGAGCCTTAGTTGTTGGGACTTTTATTAACTCTTTAAATACTTACTTTTCTTAAAAAGAGAGGAAATCTGTAAAGTAGCTGCCTTGGAAATTCTTTTAAAAGGAAATGATTAACTGGATAAAATAGCAAATATAGGGAAAGTGGACTGCTTGCTCAGGAAGGCTGGAAGTAAAAGGAGGGAAAGAAGCTGACAACGGCGGATGGGGGAGATTATCAATGATAATATCTCATGGTTCTTGCGTTATTTTTGCATTAAGATCCCTTTTTATGTTTATTCACTTAAATTAAGTGGGAATCCTCTACCTCTTTTTTTGTGTATTTTCTTCTCATTTTGATTATTATTTTTTTGTTTATATTATATTTTTTTTATCCTTTTCCTGGTCTCTAACCACCATCTTTTGCGCTGAGTTAGAGAAACCCAAAAGATAAATGGCAAATTCATCGATCACCATGGTTAAAGCCTTCAGCTAGTAATAATAATAATAATAATACTGAGCTTTAACAGCTTTCAAAAATAATAATAATAATAATAATAATAAAGCTGTATCTGATAATTGGTGCTAAATGGTGATTTGGGTTTAGTAAAGAATAAATCAATACCCTTGAATCTATGCATAGATTTGAATAAGAGTGTATGTAAACTCTGGAAGCAAGTGGAGGTTATCTAATTTTATTTTTTTTTAAATCACTTTTCTCAGCCAACTTCCACTGCTAAAGTTTTACCACTTGTAGTAGACACCACTGCATGTCAAAGACCTGATCTTGTATTTCTTGTATTTCTGGCCATGTCTTGGTTTGAAAAATGAAGTATGTAGTTGAGCATTACTAGCATGGTGTTTTTACTAGAGCCTTTGTCATAGTTATTGTTCTTTTTATCTCTCATGTAAATTCCAGAATAAGGAGGCTAAAACCAATAGCTCCAGGTAAAGTAGAATAGTAAATAGGCTGCTGTATATTTGGTGGAGTGAGATGTTGAGACCAAAATAATACTGTAATTTCTCCTCCCTCTTTTCTATAACAGTAGCATTAGTATTTTATTTTGCTGTGCAGAAATTATCAAGGAAATTGCTTAAATGAACAAAAATAACAAAAACTTATTTCCATTTTATCTTTTCTCCTTGCTGAAAGGACTGACAAAATAGCAATCCTTGTCTTTCATTGATAGATAGCTGTACTCCTTCTACAGCTTGAGTTTATCTTTGAACTGCAATCTTTTATGTAGAGCGCTGAACTGCAGTGGTGTAGGTAACACACAGGCAACACAAGTGTGCTAGAGTCCCTTGGCCAGAAGGGCCCAAGTGCCAAGCAGGAAAGAAGGTGGGAGTGAGCACTGGTATTTATCTGAATTGCCTTGACTGTTGAACACATCAAACATACTCGGCTTTTAGTTTTTACTTATGTCTTCCTTTGTTTTGTTTTGTTTTGTTTTTTTACTGGCTTTTGCAGTTTCCTCAAAAGGATGATCAAATAAATAAAGAGGGTCATTCTTATTATTGTTTGCAGGTTTCCAACCTGTACCTGTATGACAGTGTGCTCATGCTGGCCAATGCTTTCCACAGAAAACTGGAGGACAGGAAATGGCACAGCATGGCAAGTCTGAACTGCATGAGGAAATCCACCAAACCTTGGAATGGAGGAAGATCCATGCTAGAGACTATTAAGAAGGTAAGAACAGACAAACCACAATTGTGTGAACAATTGGAATGAGTTGCTTTTTTTCCAGTTGAGATTAGCTTTTGAAGAGGTTTCTGACCTCTGTTCAACTTTTCTTTGATTTATTGCAAGCAAGTGATTCACAACTACCAGGAATGATCTACAGCTATTAAACAATGAAATTATTTTTTACAAACAAATAGTTCACACTGCAGTGCTGCTCCAGCGGTGCATGTTCTACTTCTGTTGTTATAGCTACCTTCTGTGGACATAATGTGATTAGGAATAGTCATACAAATTGATGTGTGCATGCATAATAATAATTTCCCAAAGAGAATAATTTAGGGAGCTCAAGGGGCCAAACAATGATAAGATTTAAGGCTTGTGTTCTGTTTACTGCAGCTCAACTAGCTTTGTAAGTTAGCTGAGCATTGGTGTCTATTTGTGTACTGTAGCCCAGAGCAAAAGGGATCTGATTTAGCTAAGTTGTCACTAAGAGTTACACTGTCTTGCAGCATGTTGAATTACTCCAATATGGACAGTACTGTGGCTTTGCAGATGCATGGTAACTTCTTGTATTAAAGTTATTTGATCACAAATATTATTTACGATACTAACTTTAGCAATTATTCAGAAAAAAACCCGTTTGCCCATATATATTGATGGATTTGTTTTCCTCTAGTAAAATGATGCAATTTGATTGTGTTATGTTATGCCCGGACCAGTTCTATTGACACCATCTTTTGTTGCTAAATTAATTAAAATCACAGAATCAATGAATAGTTTGGTTGGAAAAGATCATTATGATCATCTAGTCCAACCGTAAAATGTTATTGTGATTTCAAGTTGCTTTGCTACAACCCCAAAATCAAACTTCATTTTCTTTTTAAAGAGAGGTTTTAATCATACTTAAAATTTTAGCTTCTCTTCACACCTCTCTTGGGAGCACAGCAGGCATACTCTTTCTTTTGGACATGGAGTTCATACCTTTGTACTGAACTCCAGAGCTGAACCTGCTGTCCTCAGTTACACTGAAAGGGGTGTTGAATGTTCTACCAAGATCCTTCTCCTTTTCTTTGGAATCTGTCTCTGTGAATGATGAAGATCTGATGGCTTTTTTTCCACAATATGCAGTGGACATGTTAGAGCTAAAGTAATTTTATTTAAAAAAAAAAAGTCTTTTGTCTGAGCTATTTGAGCTATTGAGGAACACGTTATTGCCACATTTAAGTTTGCTATAAACACTTTCAAAGCAGATTTGGTATAACTTTAATGAAAAGGAGTTTTTATAAAGGCAAATTTGTTCTATTCTAAAATTTCTGAAACTTATTTCCTTAGGGCCATATAACTGGGCTTACTGGTGTTATGGAGTTCAGAGAAGATGGCGCCAACCCTTATGTTCAATTTGAAATACTGGGCACTAGCTACAGCGAAACATTTGGCAAAGATGTGCGGAGGGTAAAGATGTGCTGCTTCTTTCTTTTGTTTTCCTCCAAATAATATACATTCTACTTCACAGGATAAAATGTTGTTATTTAAGAATGAATTAATGATACACTGCAAAAGAAACTTACTATAAGATTTTATTTTCTAGTATCTTACACACTTTAATCTTGAAAGCTAATTTTATATTGGTAGACAGGAGTCCTGCAAGCTGTTTCCACATGTGCAATAATGATGCAATGTCATAACAATACTATGAATAGTGAAGACTGCACAATTCTACTCATGCATTTTATTGTTAATTAAGAGATAATTGATATAACTGGCACTTTGTTACTAAGAAAGCTAACTGAGAATATAAATTATCTAAACACAAAAAGATGTTTCAGTATAGCTGCTGCAAGAATTTCAGATAAATAAATTTTAAAAAACTAGAGGAGATAATTTTCAAAATGGATGATGCTATATCGTGTAAAATAAAGGATGACCTATCAATGGTAGCTGGTGGAAGAGGGACTGATGGGAATCAGAAGGCAATTAGAGTGGTTCCATGGGGTTACTAACATTACCATGGGCTAAGAAGGCTGCCTTGAGCATTTTCATGGAGATATATACCTGAAACTCTCAATTGCATAGTGAGATTCCAATTGGAAGCCAAGCTACAAAATGTCCCTAAACTGGTCAATCAGTTGAAATACAGATGTTACCACCGTATGGTCAGTGGGTTCTACATTAAGCAGAACTGAACAAAGAGGATTCCACGAAGAATTAAAATTTATTCCTTTTTGTATTTTCATTTGACCATTAATTTCTGTGTTTTGTTTGATTCACCTGAATTACATGATTCTAAATGGAAAAACAAGCAGAGAACTTGTGTTTACATTATTATCTTAAACAGATAAACCTGAGATTCTTTCAGAGTCTAATTTGGCATGAGGATTCTGGACATGGAGCCAAAGGCTTGCAATATCTATTAGAAATTCAACAGAAGGAAGAGAATTACTTGAAATGCATAAAGCTCCAGGAGATATAATTGAAAAAATTTTGTTGCCAAAAAATGTCTCTGAAACCTTCAGATTGGCTAGGCACCCTCCTGTATTTTAATGATCAGAAAAGGCTATTTCTCAATCCACTTTCATTTCTAGATTTCTACTGAAAATAAGGGAGTCTAAGTTCTGAACACTACCTCGGTGATGAAGAACTGTCTTAATTTTGGAAACAGTGTTGCCTATTTAATAAAATTGAGTTGGTTTAGGAGGTCTAGGAAGCAATTCCAGTACATAAACAGAAGTATGCAAAACAGAAGTATCTGGTGTCATGTGAGATGCTGTGGACTATCCTACTGTGTTTCCAGCTGCCACTACAGGAAAGCACGTGTCCTGTCAGTGCTGTGCTATCCCTAGCAGGTATCTTGGATACCATGGAGTGTTTGAGTTTGGTTCCATTTTGTTACAGATTTCCCAAGTGACTTTGAGTAAGTCACATAATTGCTTTATGCTTTGATTTACCTTTCAGTAAAACTGGCATGATAACCACTCAGAACAGGTTTGAGGCCTTACAGGGAAATTATGATGTGTGAGTATACATTATTACTTTTTTTTTTATAACATATTTTCAAATATGGTAACACACATGCAAAAGCTCTCACATCAGTGTGTGTAGCACACTGAACAAATTGTGATATAATCCAGATGTGTGAATAGCTAAAATATCACTCAAAAGGGTTCCCAAGGCAAAGAAATAGAAAATTACTAAATAGGAAAATTACTAAAATGGCTAAACTGATATACTACTGGTCACTTTTGATCCCTAATTTGCTACTTTGGGATTAGGTGGTTAATATAGGAAGGCTTAACTCTTTGGATGTTAAATGCAGAACATTACACAGTTCCCAAAATGAAAGGCAGTATAATTCTAAATGAGTAAAAAGCTACTGGCTGTGGCTACTCTGAACTAAAATGAAGTTTTGAAAATGATCCTTTTGGCCTAATATATAGAGCAAGTAAAAAGTCAGCAGTATGCTAGAGAAGTCTATATAAGAACTTGGAAGAGATGATATTTCTTAGAGCAAAACTACCATGGAACTACTGGCATTAAGTTATTTAGACAGCCTGACTTTTTATTATTGCAGCAAAAATATGTTACAGCTTGAAAGTACTTTTAAATGCTCAGAAAATCAAGCTTGTCTCGTTTATATTACTTGAGTGAGAGATCAGTTCTAATTTATTTTCAGTTGTTTCCATATCAGCCTTTTCTCAGCTTTAGCTGTGACAGGACAAGTTTTTGGTGAAAAACTGGGGTTCTTTATGCATGGTTTTCTTCCCCTCTGTTCAGAGAACAACTGTACCTATCCATTGCTGCCCTGACCCTACAAAAAGCTTTTGCACTTAGGATCTGTGACAGAATAGGGCAAAAGTGTATAACATTGAGTATTGAGCCAGTCAAAAGCTAGAGGACCTTTAATACTCAACATCCCTTAGAAAGTTTCTCAGCAATCCTTTGCACCACAAAGACTCCCAGGAGGATGTCCAAGTAGTAATCCAAATCTGGCAGGAATTTTCAGGGCCTTTCTGTAAAGAAATCTTTACTCTTCCCAGCTGCCCTAAGATCTGATCTTTCTGCAGGTAATTGTTCCTTCCACCAGCTGTGATTGACTTATGAATGCAAGTAAATACATGTATTTGCTCACTTAGTATACCTTCTCCTTTATCCCACAAGTTTAACACTATATTTTTTTGGTAAAGGCTGATAGTGACTTTTGTGTATTTTGTGTGTGTGTTTTCTTTTTCCTCTGTTTGGGTCTACTTTAGGGAAAGGGAAACTTCAGAAAATGCTCTAATTTATTTGGTTTAAACACAAAAGAACAGGGCATATCACTTAAGGTATACCACCTTGCTTTACAAAAGGCTCAGGTAATTGCCTTCTATTCACTGTGCATGTGGAGGCTGAGAAAGCCCGGTATGTTCAGGCTTAAAAAAAGAGATCAGTGTGGTGACTTATCAAGGTGACTTATTTGAAAGCTGAAGGATAAGATTGTCAGGAAAACTGAAAAGGCTTAAATGTCTAGTGCTTTACAATTGCAGGTAGGGTTTATGTTCCTAATGTCTGTAAACACCTTTAAAAATAGCAAGCTGAATATCTGTGTATTTAAAACAAAAAGAACTGGATATAAAGAGATAAGGGAACTGTAAAAAGTATAAAATGTAACAGAATCAACCAAAACAAAAAAAATAAGAAACTTCAATAGCACATGATATGCTAATGTTTTAAATTGATGGAAAATTGAGTGAAAGAAAGAATGAAAGAAACACAAAGGCAGTATAACTTGGAAAAACGAGCCAAAATGGTATGAAGTGTTCAGGTGAAGTGTATGGAGCAGAAGGAATGACACAGCCTATTATGTTCAAAACCCTTTGAGACTTTTGGGATTTGCACTTGTAGCAGATAAAAACCCCTTTATTCTCATTTAATCTCTTAATGTCTACCTCCCATGTTAAGGGTGTCCGCATCAAATTCAACACCAACTTTAATTGCTGGCTTACTCACCATTGAATGGTCTTCCTCTGAATTCAGAGTTACCAACATGCTTCTTTTTTTTCCTCTTTTAAATTCTTATTTATTACTCCTTTATGAATTTAATCTTTTACTTACATGGATGTATAAAGCCTGTCTTGCATGTTTACATTTTTATGTCTTCTACCTTAAGCTTCCTGAGCCTTTAGTTCATTACCAGCACTGGCAGTAGCTGGGGGCAATTGTTACATCATTTTGTTTCATTGGCTCACTGTCCCCATCTGTAGCATGGAGTTGAGGGTACTTGCCTGCTTTGTACAAATTTTTGAAGTCTGATAGATAAAAAAGACTATAGAAAAAACATTTGGCTGTTAACATTAAGAAATTGAATTATTCTTAGTATTAAAAACTGTATATTTTTAATTGTAAGAGACCATCCCTTTAGCAATTGTTTGGAACTGTCAATAAAGAACTATGTCTCACTTCCACAGTACAAAGGATATGAAGTGGGAAAGGAGGTCAAGACTACATTAATCTCCTCCCTAGTGACCATCTATGTTATTAGTTCTTATTAATGAAAGCCTTGCTGTAACTTTGAGAACATCTGAGCTGGTTCATATTTCTTATGTTTCTGCATTTGGGTGGATTCCACACAATACAGTACTTTAGTGATCCAGCTGTGAGAGCAAAAGTAAGAGAGTCGGGAGTCTATTGTGGTATTTCTAGCAACTCACTAACTCACAGTGAGCTTTTGAGGTATAAACCCACTTGTTCTTGTTTGACTGTGTATACAGAGGATACCATCACATCTAACTGCCCTTGTGGGGATGTGGTTAGGCTTAGTTAGATAATGCCTGTAAGGAGCATTATGATTATCTGCATCTTCATCTTTGGCAGGAAGATCATCTGAAAGTGTGAAATTATGTTATTTAGTTTATTTTATGACAGAAATAATATTTTTTATAAAGCAATCTGTAATTCTTTCCCAAGCTGGCTGTAACGAAGGCAGAATTAATGGTTTACACACATGCTGTATTTCATAAGAAGCATTCTGTTCAAAATGATAATGTTTACCATTAGTTATTTGTTTCTGTTAGTTGGTATGTTTTTATTTTTTTAAATTAAATTTTCTTGAAATATATTTTGCTTCTGAGGCAGATGGCAGAAGTCAGTGCAAGTGGTTTTGTGATATGCTTCACAGTTGTTGAAAACCCATTTTTGAAGTCTGATTCAGTGCTTTAATTAGGATTGTTACTTTTAGGCAGGATCTCATTATTATCAAGATGATAAATTCTATGGTTCTTATTCATTGCAAAAAGGAACTATGTTTTTAGGGGTCTGCAGTGTTAAGTGTTTTCATCTGCAAGAATATTGCCAAGTCACATCATATGCTGCTAAAAAATATATACTGAAGGGAATTATCTTAAGTGGTTACTACTGTAATTGCCTCAGTTTTACTCATATGGAAAACCACATAACTAAATTGCCTTAGCTGTAAAACA